GATATTTAACTCAGAAGTGTTTTAGGAAGAGGAGGGTATTTCTGTGCTGAATCTCAAAAGGCAGTTGGAGTTAGCCAAGTTGGGAATAAGGGGGAAATCTTTCCAGGCAAATAGAGCTGCATGTGCAAAGGCCCTGAGGCCTTGAGAGCTGGTAGAAGCTGGACATCCCAAATGCTCCATTCTGATTGGAGCATGGGTGTGGAGTGGAGCATGGCCCCAAAAGGATCAAGAGGGGTCAGAATACAAAAGGCTAGGTGTGCCATGCGAGGGGGGTTGGTGTCTGTCATCTTAAAAGATGGGAGGGAGCCAGGAAGGCTTTCAAGCAGGGGTGGGGCCTGAGCAGATTTGAGTTGTAGTGTGGAGATAGGACCCAGAATGGGAGAAGAGGAAAGACAGGAGGTAAGGAGAAGCAAGGACCAGTTAGAAGGCTGTTCAATAATCCAGGTGAGAAATCATCGGGCCAATAGCAACAGTGGCACTTCTCCCGAGGCATCTGTTGTACATTGCCTTGTATTGTTACTTGTGTACATGGTTTTTTAAAAATTTCCTGACATTTCTTACCTTTCCCTTCCCCACCAAATTGTAAAGTCTTTGAAGATAAGTGCTGGACCTTAATCTTATCTATGTAGAACGCTTTCCTGCCAGGATCTGCCCTGATATCAGCAGAACTGAAGAAAGTGAAAAGAATGGGGACTAGCCTAGAAGCAGTGGGCAGGAGGGAGCTCAGAGTGAGCAGGGAGAGAAAGGAATGTGAGGTTTTTCTCACTCGACCCCACACTTCCTGTAGCCCAGCTGGGTTCCCGCTCCAGTTTCTGAGTAGAAAAGTCTGAGTCACCTCTTTCTTCCTAAACTCCTCTCTTCCCCAAAGGGATCTGAAGGCTGTAGGGGCATTGGAGTAGGAGAGACCAGCACCGTCTGATTCTTTCTCCTTTTTATCATATAAACAAAGGGCAGCGATGCCCACAATGGCCAAGCCCAGAAGAATCCAGCCAGAATATGACTGTCTGCCTCTCACCTCTGGAACCTGGCTTCCACTGGGGGTGGAATTTCACTTAAGAAGTAGGCAGAGGGTGGTGAAATTAGCCTCAAGAAGCTGGGTGGGGGCCTGGTGTGGTGGTTCATACCTGTAATCCTAGCACTCTGGAAGGCCAAGGCAGGAGGACTGCTTGAGCTCAGGAATTTGAGACCAATCTGAGCAAGAGTGAGACCCCCATCTCTACTAAAAATAGAAAAATTAGCCGGGCATGGTGGTGCGTGTGGGAGGCTGAGGCAGGAGGATTGCTTGAGCCCAGGAATTTGAGGTTGCTGTGAGCTATGATGACACCACTGCACTGCACTCTACCTGGGGTGACAGAGTGAGACTGTGTCTCAAAAAAAAAAATAAAGAATGAATGAAAAAATAAAGAAGCTGGGTGGGAGGAGAGCTTGAGAGAAGGCAGGGAGTGGAATCAAGTTGTTTAAGCTACTTCTCTGGTTACCAGGCTCTTGGCTCTCTTTCTGGTAATTGCTTGTTTACTCACTTCCCGGCTCTCAGAGGCTGTTGGACTCCTGCTGCTCTGGGAGTTGTGGGCTTACCTGACCCCCTCCTTCCCTCACCTTCTCCACTGTATAGAACCCACTGGGAGGGAACAAAGACCAGAGTTCAAGTCCTAATTAGGTCTCCAGTGAGGTAGAGGTGAGAGTCTTCATTCCATCCCAGGCAGAGAGATGCTGAAATCCCAGAACCAGCCCTTAAATTGGCTGTTGGCCTGGTGCTTAGAATGAATACCCCTGGGAGGGGGGCAGGCCTCTGGAACCTGGTTTCTGGGAGAGGGTCTTTAAAGTACAACAGCCCTACTGTTGTACCCCAACCTACAGTCCCTCCCCCAGGAAGGCATTTGAGTGCTGCAATTTAAAAATCCCTGACAGCGGAGTAGATTAAAGATATGATAAACACAAATATGCCGATTGTACTCAGAGAAAACAAGATAAGTGACTCCTCCTATCTGACTATAACTAGTAAGAACTTGTACTAATATCTGACTATATCTGGTAAGAGCTTGTACTAATGCTTCCCAAAGGGGACAGATGTTAGCCCCTTCATTAATTAAGGGCCTTATCTGCATTTCTATTGTGAAGGATGATCATGTATTTATTTAAGTAAGACTTTGTGCCTCTGGAGACCAGTGATTCTGTGAAAACATTGATTAGGGGTAGGACTTTGACGGAAAAAGTCATAGGTGTGCAATTCATATCTTCTAATTAAAGCACATTATCAGTTACTTACAAATGGTTAAGGCTGTAAACTAATCCTTAGGAGACTCCAGGTCAAACAAACAATGAAAGATAATTTACTATAGAAGTGTCCATATGAATCTAATTGAAGAGTTTACTATTGCTTTTCCTTGGGGACATTAGGTCCTTAAGGACTCTTGGTCTCTAAGTTCAGTTCTCCCCTTTGGCCAGGGCCCTGGAGAGGCCAGAGTCCTTGGGCAGGTGGAAGCAGAGCCATACCTCCAGTGGCATCTGGGGCATCTCTGTCCCTTCCTTTGCACCATGGTACCCTATCCTCAGCAGCACTTGTGGCTCCCCTAAAGCCATGTTTTCTCAGGCTTCTTTGCTTCAACTGCCCTCCCCCACATACCTGCTGGGCCAATGAATCCTTGCAGACACTTCTCCTTCCTGGGATTATTTGTTTATATGTTTCTTTTCCTGATCAGACTGTGCCTGCCCCACCTCTAAATAATGACATTCATTTTTTGATCCCCATAATCTGGCTCAGAACCTGGCAGCTGCTAAGGACTAAGTGTTGCCTGTGGAGACTCAAGTCCTGGTTTGGACATTCACAATCTGTACGACTTTCAGCAGGTCTTTTCATCTTTCTGAGTCTTAGCTTCCTCATCTTAAAATAAATCTTGCCAATTCCAACTCACATGGTTACAAATTAGGAATGAGACAACTGTGGAAATGTTGAACAAAACGCCAGGTGGTGGAGGTGGTAGGAGGGGTGCTTGGCTCCAAGCGAAGACATATTTGTCTTAGTCTGCTTGGGCTGCCATAACGAAATACCATAGACTGAGTGGTTTAAGGAATAGAAATTTATTTCTCACAGTTCTGGATGCTAGAAGTCTGAGACCAGGGTACCAGCATGGTCAGGTTCTGGTAAGGGCTCTCTTCCTGGCTTGCAGACAGCCACCTCTTGCTGTGCCCTCACATGGGGGGTGGGGGGAGAGAGAGAAATTCTCCTTTTTCTTATAAGGCCACAGTCCTATCAGATTAAGTCCCCAACCTTATGACCTCACTTAACCTTAATTATCTCCTATCTCCATATATGCTCACATTGGGGGTTAGGGCTTCAACATGAATTTTAAGGGAACATAATTCAGTCCACAGCAATATTAAAGGAGATTCATTAGCACATAGAACCCTTTAGTCCTGCTCCCACATCCCCCAGCTTGCAAATCTAGAACCCTCCATACCTAATTTGCAGCTCCAGTATATGCATCATGACTTGTGTACCAACTCATAGATGTCCCAGTAACTAAAGCATTTGTATCACATAACCTATGGCTTTTGAAGGATTTTTCATACATTGTCTAATTTCATTTTCGTAACCACCATTTCTCACCAAGCAGATGAGAAAAGTGAAATGGAGGAGCCAAATTTCATGCCTAGGTCCTCTAACTATATCTTCAAATTCTTCCCACCATACCAAGGTATGGGCTGTTAACTACTTCAAAGAAAACACAGGGCTCTAAGAACTGGCAAGTCTAAACTAAGTCCCTCCACTATGTCCATAGCTGAGAGTCTTGTGTATTTGTCCACTTATGAATCCTCTCTTCGTGCTCTGGGATTTCACGGATTTTGAAGTAGAAAATACATATGGAATGAGGAAAGGACTTTACAAATGCAAAGTATTAATATTTTATTTTGTTCCGTTTGATTTAGGACTAATTTTCAAGGGACCCTGCATACTGTCGTAGTGTATTTCTTTGGGATGCCCTGCCCACCCAGGACAACTGAATGAGGCGCTATCTGCTTTTAATCGTATCTCTCTGGTCTGCCCCTTTCCTTCCTACCCTCCTGCTGCCCCTCCCCACGTCCCTTCGCCAAGAACGTCTCAATTCTGCCCCAGGAGACTCCCTCCTCGCCAAACAACACACAAAACGCGCTAGGGCCGTGCCAGCTCGAAACGTTTCTCTCAGTGGGGCGATCATGCCAGCAGGGAGAAATAGGGACCTTTGTTCACGGGATGCTTGGCCATGGCCAGGATGGGGGACGTTCCCAGGATCGCACGGCCTCAGCTCCTGAGGGCGATTCCCGTTCCATGCCTTCCCTGCAGCCCCATGCCACCTGGGCCTCCACCTCCCGATTTCTCCGGCCCCCAGCACTCCGGGAGGAGGAGGCTTTATTTCCCCGGTGCCTCTTTCTTCTGGCCACGCAGGCCGGGGACTGTCCGCCAAGGTCTCCTCCCAGGAGGAAGGGCGGGGTGATCCGGCGAGGATTTAAAGGGGCGCAGAGGTCAGGTGGGGCTGGGGGAGCCTCCGCAGAGAAAATGGGACGGGGGCCAGGGTCGCCGGGGAGCTTCCTCCCCTGCTCCCGCCTTTCCGGGCCGGGCGCGCGGAGGGGGAGGGGAGGCTTCCTGCGCGGGCACTCGCGGCGGGGCCCCGGCGCGGCCCCTCCCGACAGCCGGCGGGCGGGCCGCGCGCGCGCGGCCGCCGTTGCCAGGGTTACGGGGGAGGCCCGCGGTGGGAGGCGGCGGCGGCGGGGGCCAGCGGGCGGAGCGCCGCAGGCGGGGCGGGGCGGGCCGGGGGCGGGAGTCGCTGCCTCGTCGCCATGGGAACGGCGCAGTTATTTCCAACCCCTGGGCCGTGCCAGTGGCGCGGTGCCAGGGTGCGAGGGTATTGCAGGACAGCGGCAATCTGCTGCGGCCTGGGAAATAACAATGCGCCCCTCTGTAGCGCGGGGCCCGCCGGCGAGAGGTCCCCGCTAATCGGAGGGGCCGGGGCCGCCCCCGCGCGTCGTGCCTCCTCTCGGGCGCTCCTCGGCGGGGAGCCTGGGGGCCGCGGCGCTCCCCGCTTGCACGTGCTGCCTCCGCCGCCCCGCCAGACAAATCGGGGCCTTCCCGGGCGCGTTTCCTTGGCGCCCCCCTTCGCTCGACGAGCCCTTTGATTTCTTCCCACTCTGGCCTTCATCTCTCACTTCGTTCCACCCCTCTCAACTGCCTCCTGGAGTGCCTTCTTTTGTGCTCGCCACCTCAAGTTTGGCCGTCTCTCCAAAGCTTTGCCTTTAGAAACGACTCCATGTGACCTCCCCTCCCCCACCGTCTCCTGTGGCGGCGTACATTCGCTATCTGGGCCACCGCTCCCCTCTCCTCGCGGTAGTCAGCGCCACGTTACCGTTTCTATTGTCCTCTCCCCTTCCTATCAGAACCCCCTGTCTGTCCTCGGCCTTTTCAAGACTCTTCCAGAAACTCTTGACGTCTCTGTCCTCTGGTTTCTTTTCCACTATTTTTTCTCTCAGGGCTGTGGGACGGCAGAAGAGAAGTGGCAGATGGCTACCTAGGTTGAGTCCTCTTGTATCGCACTAACACCATCCTTTTTTCTGCCACCTGAAATCTCATTATTTGGGCACCACGGGCGCGGCTGTGAGGGTTCTGCTGCTGTTGCCGCCATTAGTAGTCTCCTTGCTTGGGAGCTCAAGTAAAGGACACTTCTGGGCACTGGCCAGAGACCCTTGAAGTGCACCTTGAGGACTAAACATCTCTCTTATTCCATCCCTGCGTGGTCACTCTTGCTTTGTTTCATACACTATCTGCCTCTTCCCACCTCTAGCCTCCCTTCACCCCTACTGCCCCCACCCCCGAACCACATTGTTCATCCCTTGGCACCAGCTGTAGAAGAGGAAAGGGCAGGTCCTCTTCCCCAGGAAGGAAGGTGGGGCAGAGTAGCTCCCGCAGGAAGGGAAGGAAAAAGGAGGGAAGGAAGGAAGTGGCCAACAGAAGAAGGTGGAATCCGGTGGGAGGGCTCCTCATTGTTTTAACTTCTTTCCTTTTTAGTCCTACAAAGTCAAGCCCAAGGCCATCCCAGCACCCACGTTCTGCTGCCATCTCTCAGAACCCCAGCTGGGACTCCCAGACTGAGCCTGGAGGGGGCAGAGGTTTGGGTGGATGTATTTAAGGGAGGTGGGCAGGGTTTAATGTATGCTGCAAATTGTAAGCACCTTTACATTTTTTATGTATCCATTTTCTTTTGTTTCTTTTCAGGTCCAACAAGTCAGATTTTATGTTGCTTTTTCTCAAAAAGGAAAAGAAAAAAAGAGTAGAACTATGCCTCACTTAAGGAAAATGTGTCTGACATTTCCTGAGGACCTTCTACATGTGAATCTGCTCTTACACTGTAATATTTCACATGTACGTAGGGCTAAAGTTTATAAAGAGCTCTCACTTACACTACCTCATCTCAGCTGTTATTATCACCCCTACTTGGTCCCTTTCACCCACTGACTTTAAAACTCAGCCTTTCAAGGAATAAATATTCATCAGTATTACTTTCCAATATTTCCACCACCTGTTTTCTGGCCTAGGCTTAGGGCCAAATGCAGGCCCCAGGAGCATAGGCAAGGAGAAGTTTCCATCCATTGTAGGCCTGTGGTCCAGTACTAAAGGTGCTTAGCTATAGACTAAAATAAATTTGTCATGTGTTTTGTATGATATATCTTTGCATCTCCAGTCACTTAATACATGCCTAGAAAACTGCCAGCCAGGTTTTTGGCTCCATTGGCGGCCTCTTGTTCCTTGGAAGACCCGGAATGAAAGAAACTGACCCAATGCTTTGGAAGACCTTGTCTTCCCTTGAAACCTAGTTCAAGATTAACCTGCTGTTTGTCTTCTCATCTTCTATATTAGTTAACAGTATCCTGAACACTGAGCAGAGGCCAGAGGGAGTGGGTTTTGTTTTTCTCGGTGCTATGTGAGCATATCTTCTGGGGACAGACTGTTAGTACTGTTTGGAGGGCCTGGAATGGGGGTGAGGGTCAGGAAGGGGATCCAACAACTCTAGGAACCTTTTGTTTTGTTTTGTTTTGTTTTGTTTTGTTTTGTTAAGTTGCTGTCTTGTTGGTGGAAGGTGTGAAGGGGTGGACACTTGCCTGTTTGGAATGGGGACAAGTATGAGCAGAGCTGTGGGGCTTGGCTTCCTTTCCTACTGGCTCATTTCCCCTGAGGATGGTTTTGTTCTAGAGGGAATTTGCTGTCCTCCCCAATCCTCAAACTGACTGGCAAACCAATTTGTCCTGGGCACTTATTTAGAGCACTGAGTTGCGGTACACTCTCCTGGAAAACACAAGCCCTAAGAACAGTTCTGTGATCATTGTGTGGAAGGGTGTGGGATGCAGAGGTGGGGAGGGCATATTTCTGGTAAATAGAAGAAAGAATTTTCTCATGAGCAGAAATCTTAACTTTGAGAGCGGCTGGGCTTCCTCAGACATTCATAGTCATGGAGATGGTCGGGGAGCCTGGGCTAGAAGAAGTCCACCTGTCAGAAATTCTGTAATGTGTTTTCCTGCTGGGTGAGGGGTGAACTGATGACCCCATGGTCCCTTCTAACTCCAAGATTCTGCAATTTGAAATATACTGATGATCCTAGGCAGCAAATGATGAATAGCTCAAGCTTTGCTAACGATTCTATTCATCAAATTTTTATTGAGTGTGTACTTTGCAGTGCTGCTCTGCTAGACACTGTGAGATTCAGAGATGTGAATAGTGGGGTTTAAGATCTTTGTGGAGGCCACTTACACTTCAGAGTAAAGTGAGACTGAAAGGGTTCCAGGCTAGAGTGTGTGGTCCTGTCCCCCATTACTACCCAATCAAAGTCCCGAGGGTCAGCATTCTCTTACACTGTTGCCCTGTGATTTGTTTCTTTCTGAGATGCTGGTTTCAAAGATTTCCCGGGACTGTCTGGCTTCGATCTGTAGGGGAGAGAAATGAGAGAAAGGCATAGTGTGGGGGGTTGTGTTTGTAAGGGTGAATGCTGAGTGAGTATAGAGCCCACCCTGTCAGGATATGCTGGGGTGGGGATGGGAATGAGAACTGGGAGGAAAATGAGGTGGAAATGAATGGGCCCCCATAGGAAGAGGTAATGAGGTGAATCAGAAAAATCTGTCACTGAGATCCAAGAAGAGACTGAGAGGTTTAATCTCTCTTGGTCCTTTTAAAAGATGAAATGTGTCAGTTAGAGAGCCTGGACTTATGAAGACAGATCTACTGGGAGCCTCGGTTTGGAGCCGGAGGGGCTTGCCATGGTGGCTGTTAAAGATGATGAAATCCCCAACTCCGGCAGCCAGGAATCAGCTTGGGGGCCCGCCTCTCTTTTACTATCTTTAGCAAGAAGAGTTCTGCAGAGCCTCAAGAGCTCCTACCCTGACCAGTGCTTAGCACCCCCATCCCCATGACAGCCCCCTAAAGAAAAGTCCAGGTATCTGTAGGACTCTCAGGACTTGCAAGCCAGAGAGAGCAGTGGGGTTGGGAGACAGAGGTGACCCCTACAGGACAGGTATATCTGGGGAAATGGAGGGGTCCCTCTCCAGGATTCTGATGGGCTTCTCTGTTCAAGGGAGCAACTCAGGAGTCAGTTTAATCAGAGTCCTTAGCATCCTTGGGCACGGAAACGTCCACTTCGTTGGTTTATGTCTGTGTGTCCTAGAATGACCTCCCTCTGCCACAGCTGTGGACACTCTCAGACTCTTAAACCCAGAATGTCCTTCCAGGGATTATCTCTTGTAGTTTGGGAGGGACCTGGATGTAATTTGAAGGGTCTTGGGTGGGGAGGAGGATAATCACATGCCCCTAATCATGTCTCTACTAGTCTGGGGCATCTTTGAGGACACTGGTCTAGTTTTGAGGCATGTGTGTACTCATGGACATGCAAAAGCTGCCTCTGCAGGGTTGATGCCACCCCCCATCACTGCCTGCTATCAGGAGCAGACTGGTAGGCACAGAGAAGGGTCACCCAGCACAGACCAGGACCCTGAAGGTATGGGAACTGGTACCTCAGAATTCTGATGGGGGTGGGGAGAGATCAAGGGAGAAAAATACCCAAACACCAGGGCTAGGATTAGAAGCCTTCTTTGCTGTATTCGCTTCATTACTGGTGAGCTGAAGGACTCTGGAGCTGCCCTTGGTTTGAGGCTAGAGGTGCTCAGCCGCATCTGAACAACAGGGTCTGTGGACCCATGACCGTGGCCTGAGTCATCTGAGAACCTGTCTGAAGTAGATGGTACTGGAGTGGGATTTCATTATACCTTGAATATGAGACTAGCAAGGCTGCTTCTGGGAGTTTTGCTCTTGTCTGCATTCAGATCGTCTCAGGGTTCTTTGCTTTGAAGAATGAACAGAAGCCAGGGGCTCAGTTTGACAAGGGCTCTACAGGGGAATTGTGGGATGTGGTTGGGAGCTGCAGGGAGCTCTTTTCCTGCCCAGATGATGGATGTGACGGGCCCCTGCGAGGGAGGCAGCCAGATGCTGGATGCTTTTCTGGTGTTGGTGCTCGCTGGTAGGGTTCAGCTAGAAAGCCCTGGCAGGTGTTGTATACAAGCCCAGCGAGGGCTAGCGGCACGTCGCCTGAACACAAGGTCCTCAATCCTGAGACACCTGGGAGGCAGCCCCTGGTGTTCTGTCTGCAAAGGGCAAGGCTGTGGAGGGGAAGGGCTAAGTTGGAATCTGAGAGATGGGGTAGAGGATGGACTCTTCAGCCCCAGAGGAACTGTCTTCAGCCTGTTGTACTAGTCAGTGTGACCAAGAGTGAGCCCTCGTGCTCACTGTGTACCATCAAGCTTTGAGAGCTGAGTTATCGACCTGTAACCCACACAGCTCAGATCCAGCCATTCTTGGATGCTCAAGGCTACTGGGCCTTCTCTCTGAGCCTCCCTGCACTTCCCACCCCCATCTGCCAATCTCTGTGTCAGGCTGTTTGGTTTTATCTTCATCCTTAGCTGAGATGTTCAAGAGCTAATTGGGCTTAGAGGATGAAAAGAAGCTTACCTTCACTTTCAGAATTAAATCTAGATCCTCCAGTATTAGGTATTCAAGTCTCTCGAGGTCGTTCCCTGCCTACCTTTCCTGCCTCATCTTTTGACACCATCCTGCATGTGTAGCACTCTCTAGTCACACTGATGTATTTGTCGTTTTTCATAGTGCGGTGTACTCTCATGCCTCTGTCCTTGCTCCTGCTGTTCCCTCTTCCTGGAGCATATCCTTCCCTTGGCCCAATCCAGAGATGTCCAGCTTAGTCTATGAGGCCTTCAAAAGCGCTTGTGTCTCATCTTGTCCAGAGATCCTTTCTTGACACCCCCAGCTGTTCAAGCTGGAGTAAGATGTCCCTTCTCTGTTCTCCCAGAGGAATATGTACATACTCAGTCTCAGCAGTCACCATATTAGACCATGGTACTGTGCTCCTTTGTCTCCCTAGCAAGAAAGCAATTTCTTCTGGGATCTCCCAGTGCTTAGCACAGTGCCTGCTATGGCATCACACCTGCTTGTTTGTTTAGTGGCTAATTGTCCATGTCTTCCCCACTCCCACTAGGATTTAAGCTCCATGAGATAGAGGAGCTTGCCTTCCAGATCTACTACTAAACCCCAGTGTCTAGTGCATAGTGGGCCTGCAGCAAATTTTTGTTGAATGAATATATGGGAGTCGTGGGCTATGATTCGAATTTGGTTCTTCCTCTGAGTGCCCTGGTGACCTTGCATAAGTCACTCAGCATACATGGGATGGTGTGGTGGGAAGCTGTGGTGGGACCTTAGGCACCACTTCACATCTCAGTCTGGAATCTTCTTCCAGCCTCTGCTACTATGGCCAGTTCTGTGCAGGATCCCTGGCTTTGTGCACAAGAGTACAGAGGAGTTCATACCTTGTGGAAAACTCTGGCCCAATGGGGAACCAGAAGCAGTGGATAAATGTCTTTCCCCTTTCTCTCCTGGTGGATCAATCTGAGATGCATTTCACAGTTTCCTCAGATGGTCCCATAGGATTGGTTAGCCAGGTGACTCTTAGTGAGGGACAGCTTCATAGAGCATCCCTGTATTGGCTCTTCTCCCTCCCTGTGTCTGCCGCCTGGGATCACATCCCCAAATACTCTCCTTAAACTTAAGCCTTTGTTGCAGGCTCTGCATTTGGGGGAACCCAGGTGAGGACAACTAAGTTCCACCCCTGGCTCTGCTACTTACTTACTGTCTCTGGATAAAACCTCTCTGCTTCTGTTTCCTCAGCTGAAAAACGAGTATCATAATGCCTACCACACCAGGTTTTTAAATAGTTGATAATGTAATATATGTGAGAGTGTTTGATTCAGTCCCTGCATACATCAGGCACTCACTAAAGGTTTCCTTTTGCTCTTCCCGCCTGTTGCTGTAAAAAGGCAGGTCTGGGAAGCCTGCTTGGCCTCCTGGCTGGCACGAGGCCTTGTGAACAAATGTTGCTGAGCGTATCTCTGCTCTGGTGGGAAAGCCAGCCCAGGGCAGCAAAGGGTGACTAGGCCAGATGACTCAGGGATTTGGTAACAGGATCATTCTTTGGAGCATTCTGTAAACATTGGTCAACGGAGTCTTGCAACATGCTTGGTAGGTGGGAGGTGGGAAGAGGCGAGGGTGTGGAGGATGTGGAGGCCGGAGGAGGCCAAACATGTTGTTCACAGGGCCAAGGGTGGCGTGTTTGAGA